GGAGCGTGTATGTGCGGCTGTGTGGGCGCGCGCCTCGCGTGAGTGCGTGTGCGGGGCCTGTCGGTACTGTAGCAGCACAGAATGGTTTGTGAGTTATAACGGGGGTACAGGCCGTACTGTGCTGCGGCAAGAACGACAGGACAGACCTTCAGATTCAAACGGGTGAAAAGACAGAAGAGAAAGGTCTAGTAGGCGAAAACAACAGCAGCAGCAGCAAGACTACATGTGCCGGCGAGTCTCCTGAACTTGGCCGTGTGACACTGGCTGCCTGGCTGTAGCAGCACGTAAATATTGGAGTCAAAGCACTAGCGAATCCTCCAGTATTGACCGTGCTGCTGGAGTTAGGCGGGCCGTTTACTGTCTGCGGGGGCCTCTGTGCTTCGGGATCCCTCATCAGGAAAGCACAAGAAGATTAACGACTGCCTAATAACATACTGTCCAAATGCCGGTGTTTTGAACGCTTTTATTCTGAGAACCGATGACATGAAATGTGATAAAACCTCAAATAAGCTGTATAAGTGTTTATGTAATTTAAGTTTAAATTAAATTAAACAATTTATGTACATGGAAAAATGCAATAAAGGAAAATAAAATTAAAAAAACATTAAAATCAGTGATTGCATCAAATTAATGGTAGAGCCACGTTGTGCGCGAACTCTGCAGTTGCTGTCAAATACATAAATATACCACATTCATTTCTCGCACCAAATTCTAATAAAAATGTCTAGACTATAATGAGCAGTTGCTGTGTACTATTACAGATAAAGTACATCGTAGAAAAAAGTTCTAAAATGTGTCGTATTACAGTGTTAAGCATCATCATATCAGTGATGTACCTTCCATCTTTATTTACGCATTTTGAATTACGCAGCATCGCCATCTTCTGGGAAACTTTAAATGGTTTGTGCTGTGTACTATTACAGATAAAGCACATCGTAGAAAAAAGTTCTAAAATGTGTCGTATTACAGTGTTAAGCATCATCGTATCAGTGATGTACCTTCCATCTTTATTTACGCATTTTGAATTACGCAGCATCGCCATCTTCTGGGAAACTTTAAATGGTTTGAAGTCTTCAGATCGCCCCAGTTTCTTTTAGGTTAAGATTAAGGGGAAGGGGTGCTGACAGAATCTCTTCTAGATCGGCCCCTTTTTGGTACTTTTCACTGTTTGTTTTGATTCTCGCGTTTCTTTCCCTCGGTAAGGGTCGTTAATATCAAGTAGCCTATATTTACACTCTGCTGAAACGCTCGGGATACTAATGAAACCATCCTTCAAACCGTGTCCACCCTCAGGCCAAGACTAAGAAAAGTTTGCGTTCATCTGGATCAATTGTTCAAAAATCTGCCAAATGAGCAAATGAAAATGCGAATCTATGTAAAACTTTTAAGGGCACTTCTACTCGAAACACTAAGTTGGCCTTGTTGCCTCAAGGGATACGAATGACCAAAAATCACAGAGACAAACCTACATTTTAGCTCAAATTTAATTGATTTGATTCTGAAGTGACTACTAAGTCCAGTATCTAGCCACCCCGAGATTCGCTTGTTTGAATGTACCTGAACCTGAAGTTAAATGACAGAACTCAAGTATGGACATACATGGGTCGTTCAGTACAAGCAGATTTTCTTGCCTTAATAATTAAAAAAATAATTTATTAAAAGCAACCCTGATTATCTTGGAATTACGAAGCGCAGCTCCGGGACTCACATTTCTGATGGCAGTTGTTGCTCCCCCCAAAAAAAGTAAAAAAGGAACATGAGAGTAAATGTGGTTGAACTCAGCCTCAGAATAACAACAAATAAATAAATAAATACGTGCAACTGGCCATCAACTAATTTAAGTTGAGCATTCACTCGATATCCGCTTGACACTTTCATAGTGAATATCTGTCCGTAGAAAGTTTGAACAGACCTCATAGTGTTAGTATTTATGTACTCGGACTACACGTACCATTAATTACTAAAACTGCTCTAAAAAAAAAAAAGCTGCACTGATTGTCCTTAATGATTATCGATTGTATTAAAGACGCATAAAAAAGAAAAAATAAATAAAAACGTTTTAGATTCTCAGTGGTAGGATGCCATGCAACTGATTTCGTAAAAAAAATCACCGGAGGTGTCCTTCTGTACAAGAGGAAAAGTTATTGGTGTGGAGCTATGCACTATGACTCTTACTGGTCTAGGTAGAACATGCATACAACGTAAATCTATCAAATCGTTTTATTTTGTGTCATTTTGATTGGTCACTTACGATTATGTGATTTTTTTTTAATATCGAGAAACTGGTTTAAAAAAGGTTTGGTACCACTGGTATTCTTGGATTTGTTGTCTTCTACAGAATCTGAATTTAAATGGAATCGTTATAATAATAAACTAAAGCCGAAACTAGGTGCCCTAACTTGACAGATAATGAGTCCTTTGATATCATATCCACCTCTATTGTACATCGTATTACGTAATAAAAAGCAGGTACGTGTGAAATCAATGATACAGTCGAATGACATGCATGACGGACATAATTAGCGAACCGATAAATAATGAGAAAATAAAGCAGAAACCACGTCACTTTCTTTTGCTCTTACGTCACTCCCTTCTCCTGTCACTGAGGTTATTCCTTCCCTAGGCTGAGCTACAGCTTAAATACTGTACTTATGAATTCGCACTGAACACTTTCTGAAGCGGAAATTCATAGTGAACCCAAAAGGGCTGCGTAACTCGTTTTTTCGTACTGAATAAGCTATTCTTGGCAGGTAAGGCGAGATCATAGCCGGTAATTTCCACAGAAACATCATTTGGAGAGTCAGAGCTGAGCAACGCGCAGGTTTATGGTGAATTCTGATTGGGCAGTTCTGAATAACGGTTTTGTTATCATTCAAAAGGCTAGAGGCGAGCAGATAAGTGGGCTCATGTTCATTTCATCGCAGTTTCTAAATTAGTTTATACAGCAAACAGACATCGCTATATAACATCACCTCATTTGTCATCACCTGCATCTCAAACTCACAACATCGAATCCGGTAAACTTAGTGCAAGTCTGTACCCTGTACAAAAAGTAGTACATCAAAACGTTCTCTCGCCATTACAAGACAGCGTCTACTTACGCAATTTTGTTAAACTAGCTTAAGCTAAATCAGTATATATATATATATATATATATATATTAAAAAAAGGTAGCACAAGCACACTTTTCAAGCAAAATATTTCATATTAAACAGGTTTGTTCATTTTTAAATAATAAACCAATACACAGAATGATCAAATGTATGTAAGTGTAAAAAGTTGTAAATTAAACAGATTATTGGAGTACATAGGTAGACAGGAAGAACATGATGAAACACTGTGCCTACTTTACCTTCTTTTGGTCCATTTACCTCGACATTTGCTTACTAGTCGCCCCAAAGGACAAGAAGGTGATGTCAGTCAAAATAAATATTTTTTACAATAACGCAATAATCATGAAAAGTAGGGATGTTGGGTCAAACAGTTCCTCCGCATAACTGCGAACACATCACGCGCTCTTTTATTGGATAGAAACCGCGCGCGCCAGTTACCAGGGCACTCAGAAAACGCAATCATGGCGCTTGTTGCTGTGCAGATTTCAACACTAGCGAACTTCAAAAACAACAAACGTTAATATCGAAGTTACGTGTTACAAGTAACAAACAAACGTCTTTCAAAACGTTTATTTTAAATTGTCTTTGATAAGAGAGCGAGAATACATATAAACATAAGTAAAGATATATTTTCGTTTTTGAAAGAAGTTGGTCAGATATAGATCCCCCCTTACTTTGAGCGGTGAGGTTGTTGCTATGCAAACCTTCACAGCTGTGACTTGAGGTTAAAAGCTTTTAAGGTCACATCGATCCTGAGCCCTCAGATTTGCACTCTCTGTCTCGCACATTCTGCACGATCGCACACATATCCAAACTTGTACACCTAATGCCATAAAGTCACATTTTAAATTGATTTTAATTATTGTGTAAAAAATAAAATAATGAAAATTCTGTCACCATTTACTCACCCTCCACTTGTTCCAAACCTGTATGAGTTTCTTTCTTCTGCTGAACACAAAATAAGACATTTTGAAGAATGCTGGTATTGACTTCCAGGGTTTTTCTCCATACTATGAAAATCAGTGGCTACCGTCTTCTGTTTGTTTAAACACGTTTTTCAAAATATCTTCTTTTGAGTTCAACAGCTGTAAGAAATTCATACAGGATTGGAACAACTTGAGGGTGAGTAAATCATGACAGAATTTTCAATTTGGGTGAACTTTAAAGGGATAATTCGTCCTAAATTATAATGCTGTCATCATTTACTCACTCTAATTCCAAACCCTTATGACCTTCTTACACGTAACACGACAGTAAATCAAGTCTTGGTTACCATTCACTTTGATAGTATGAGAAAGATGCAATGAAAGTGAATGCTTGACATTCTGCATGAAATCACGATTTGTGTTCCACGGAAGAAAGTAAGTCATAGGGGTTTGTCACAACATGAGGGTGAGTAACTGACGACAGGATTTTCATTTTTGGCCTTCATAGCAGTCCGTCGGTTGCTCACTAGAGGTCACCGTTGAGCTATCCTGGAAATACTTTTTTTTTTTTTTTTTTTAAGTGAAAGAAAAAAACTTTTCACGCCAAAATAGCTTTTAAAAATATGTGGCAGTAGAGGTGGGACAAAGGAAATAAAGGACAGCATCAGCACAGAGCATGTGCTGATCAATTGCATGGAGTATGAAAGACAAAGACTACAATTAAAGGACGATTTAATATCTGTTGGCATACACTCTTTAACTTTGCAGAATGTACTAAACAGTTCTTATCAAGGTTATAAAGCTCTTTTTTTTTGTTTGAAAGCAATAGTTATATAACCGATTATAGGAAGATAGTTTTTTTCTCTCTCCTGATATCAATGTCTCACACGCCATCAGTAGGTGGCGGACTATGCAGCTAACGCTGGTTTGCCAACCGCCATTAAACGTTGAAGAAGAAGAACATTCACATCATATCCTGTTAGCGTGTAGGGAGAATTAAAAAAATGACCTCCCATGATTTGTAGCACAAATAACCTCGTGTAACAACTAAATAGAACTAAACCACAATATTTAACTGTAAGGGTATAATTGTGAAAGAAATACTATTATGGCGGCTTTGGTTTCATGCTGTTTTGGCTGTTGTGGAGACAATAACAGGGACCACGTAACACTGAAGGAAATGCCCACGGTTCAGCTGGACACTCATCATATGGGTAAGTTGCGATCTGACATTTCAGCCATATTATATTCATGGAAAAGATCTGACAGTTTGATAAACTAGGCTGTCCTTCTTCAAAAAAAATAAATAAAAATAAGTGCCTTTTTCGCCATACAATGAAGTGTTATGATAATTTTAGTGCTGCCAGACTTGACATAACAGTTTATTTACAGTTCTTTGCGTTTGACATTTGTAATGACATGTATATAATTCAATGGGACGAGGCAAGGGGACTTAATAAACAATAGTTAAATGACACAAAATGTATAGCATGTATGAATAAGTGCACAATTTCAGAACGTCATGAAGCAGAAACAAATGGTAGTAAACTATTTTGGTCTCTGTTGTGCTCTTAATTAAGTATGTGAAAACTGGATTTTTTCCCCCGTGATATTTCAGGTACTGATGTTGTCATTGTAAAGAGTGGAAGACGCATATGTGGAACTGGTGGTTGCATTGCAAACGCCCCTCTCCATCAAAACAAGAGCTACTTTGAATTCAAGATTCAGTCCACAGGTAAGACATGATGTGTGCAAGCATTTACATGTAAGTTTGACAAATTACTCAATACTTTGATTTAGTCATTAGGTGTGACTGCTGTGAACTTCGGCTCTTGCAGGTGTCTGGGGAGTAGGAGTGGCAACGCGGAAAGGAAATCTGAACCAGATCCCTATGGGTAGAGACCCGCACAGCCTTGTGCTCCGGCAAGATGGCACCGTGTTCCACAACAATGAAGAAAAGAACAGATTACCTGCAAACAGCTTACCGCAGGAAGGAGACATTGTGGTGAGTCTTAGCGGCATTAAATAAATATGGGATTTGTTGGTAAACAAGTCTATTTATGTGTGCTTGGTAAAGGGAGAAGCATTTCATTTTGGACTGTGCTTCCATTTGGGTTTTACTGCTTATAATATCAACAAGGGATATTAACTGTGTTGTTACAGACTCATTAAATACTGGAGTTTTGTTGTGAACTTCATTTTGGTATACCACCACCTGACTAATTTCATACTGAGTTTACTGGGTTATCTGCAAACTGGAAACCTGTTAGCACTAATATGTATGCTGACAGGAGCTGTGATGGTTTTCATGAAAGCAGTGATTCATTTTCAGTGTAATAGCTTCATGTATATAATTTTTTGGCTTCGCCCATTTTTGTGTGTGTAGGGTGTTACGTATGACCATGTGGAGCTGAATTTGTACCTAAATGGGAAGAATATGATCTGTCCAGCATCAGGCATTAGAGGAACTGTTTATCCTGTAGTTTATGGTAAGAATTTTTCAGTATTATTTTCTTTTTTTAATGACTATAACTAACCACTAACATCTTCTTTGGTTGCCAGTGCAGTTGAGACAGGAATTGCTCTGTTACGTAATAACACAATTACAAAATTGCCTTTATTTTTATTCTCTGTTAACCTGTAGTTAGTGTTGAACTGCATAGAGATGACCAGTCTTTTAATGTTCTTTGATTCCAGTATTGCATAATGTTTACAGTGGGTATAGAAAAGAATCCACCCCCCCCCTTAAAATTATCACATTTTGTTGCTTTGCAGCCTGAAATGAAGATGGACACAGTTTTTGTTTTATCCAGCTGTATTTACTCAGTGCAACTTATAACATCCAAGTGAAAGATATAACACCAACATGTCAGAAAAAAATAAAAAAACAGAATCACAGAGTTGGAAAAAGGATCCCCCCCCCCCCCCTAAAA